GAAGCCACATGGATAAAGAGACTTATTATTGATCCATTAAAGGAAAAAGAGTTATTATTTTCCAAATGGGGAGGCTATCTTCTGTAAAAATGTAATTATTCTACCAAGTTATTGAATATGGAAAACCTTCCCCTATTTTATAGAGACATCATAATAGCCTAGGGAAGAAGTCATACAACATGAACCATTATCACACAGGCAGTGGAATAAGTCTTGTGGAATAATAGATTTATTGTGATTGGGAATACTTCTGTATACTTCAAATCTTGGGCCGTGGCTGGCAGTTCTTATATCAATGACCTATTACATGAAGATGGCACCTTTATGACAATGAATGACCTGTACAATGAATATGGTATAGAGATTAGTCCATGTCAAGTAATGAATTACAACTCACTCAAGACAGCAATACCTAGGAAATGGAAAGATATAGTTAGAAACGAAAGACGAAAATGTACACCCGAAAACATCATACAATACTCAGATAAGATAGACAAATAAACATGTAAATTCATATATGATATAATAATGAAAAAACAATTTGTAATACCATGTCAACAGAATAATATCATACAAAAAAGGGTAACAACAATGTTAAAAACGTATACACTACTGCTTTTACAATAACAAAAGACACAAAGTTACAATGTTTTCAATTTAAAATTATTCATCGATACCTTGCTACAAACAACTGGCTAAAAAAAGTGAAAATGGTACAAAGTGACAAGTGTAACAATTGTAATGAAAAACACACTATTGAACATCTGTTAATACACTGCCATTATGTCACATATTTCTGGAAAGATTTTACAAGATGGTGGAAAAACGAAACACAGCAGGACCTAACATTAACTGAGAAGCTAATTATATATTGTATACCAGAAACTTCACACACAGATCCTTTTCTATTGCAATGTATCCTAATAGCTAAATATGTCATATACAGCTGCTTCATTAAAAATATAAAACCTGACATGAAATACTTCCAATGTAAACTAAAACATCACATGACAATAATGAATGCTACCCAGTAATTTGTTTACATGATATATATACACACCTTTCTTTTGTTGTGAAATTATGAATGATTACCCGATGTTATTTTATCTTCCCTTACTTTATCTCTGTTTATTATGTACACTGCATATGATTTGTTTGTATGATTTCATGTATA